GTTTATCCAGTTTCTGCTACTGAGCTACTGAAGGCCATTCTGATGGAGTTCCTTGCTCCTTTCATACAGCAGCACCGGATCCGAGCATTCCCGGCTTGGAGGATGGTGTCGGAAAGCATTGACGGTACTTCCTGGAGCCCCAAATACTACATTCAGTGCTTGCTTCCCTGAAGTTGAGATTCTTGACATTAAACTGACTGGAATGCACCAGGGATGGCAAGCACAGAGATTCCTAAAGAAGTAAGATTCGAGATGAAATATGTATCTACAGCAGGCAGTGAAGCATTAAAGGCAAAATATTTCTTTGAGGAGCTGGTGCAACTGGTGATTGGCTTGAAGTTCGTCATATGATTCCGAAAATGTACAGAAATGGGTGTTGCTCAAGCTCTTCCAGGCATACCAGGTGTGCCGTGCCGGAATGTTGCAAAATGAGGGAGCTGAGTAGTGGCTCCAAGCCAGAAGTGAAGTGCATACTCCACGACATTCCACATTTGAAACAACGAAACCAACCCGTTATCATTTCGTCTACATAGTAGCTGTGAAATCCTAGGCTTCTTTTTTTCAGACACAGTTGCCCTTTAATCTGTGCAAATTGAAAAGTGAAACAAGCTGGACATGTCCAGGCGGCTTCCATGTCCGGATCGAAGAACTCTTGCAAGTCGAAACGCAGGTAGGGGATTTCCTGAAGGCTGACTGCTACCCGTGCAGAAATTTCCGGAATGACCTGACCCTATGGGTCCCACGTATATATATATATATATACAGTGTCAGTCAATCATTTCCTACCAAGCAAATTCGCTTCGATTAGCACAGGGCCCTGATACAAAGGGCACGAAAGCCCTTGCACGTACAGCTGAGTACACCCACAAGAGTCAGGTGTTGTTGAACATATACTCTCCCAAAAAAGAACATGTAAGCATGGAATCTCCTGTTTCCAGCGGAAAGCAATCTTGCAAGGGGCCATGTTCCCTCCCCTGCATTCTTTATTCTCTTTCTCTCTTGTCCGTGGCAGGAGGTCATCAAGGAGGCTTGAGGTGACAAAGTCATGGATGCAAATTGGTAGGGTCACAAAGTCAAGCTTCCCTAAAAATCTAGGAACCAAATCATTAGTGCGAGCGCTTCTTCAAGGAAGCTCTCCCTGCCCTCAGGCGGAGGGAGCTTCCTTGAAGAAGCGTGAGCTATCCTCCATCCATTGTAGTAGCGTCTAAGTAGAAGCTAGTAGCGAACTTCTCCCTTACCTAATTAAGTAGGCACCTACTTCATTAAGTAGGAGCGGGCTTAAGACCGATCAGGCAAGTCCTTGGGATCGCATAGACTGATCATGCAAACTTCTTAGTAACAAAGCAAGTAGCGTCCTTGTTACTACTAGTAAGGCACCTGTTCCTAGTAGCGTGGCACTTGTTACTACTAGTAAGGCACTTGTTACTAGAAGCGATGCACTTGTTCCTACTAGCTTCTTATTACTACTTAGTGAACCTGCAAGCATGCTTAACCCCATGATGTGTGGCCCCTGGGAAGCCTCTTAGCAAGAGCCACGTCAGTATGTCACATACTGTATGTGTTCAAAACCTGCCTGTGGGGCCATACCTTCCCTCCTAGAGTTTGGCAATATCTGGTGCAAATCAAGTGGTCCAGGTGCCCCTCGGGGTATCATGGACTGAATTACAGCAGCCACATCTTTTCAGCTGGAACGGGCTATGCAGGAACGGACACTTACCGTATTACTCCAAACAAGTCCAGATACTTCCGTCGCGTAAGCCTTCAATGCGCCAAACGATCGAAACATATGATGCCAATACCAAGAACCCCACCAAGAACGGCGTAGTCGTTTTTGTCTAAGTGGGATCTGCCAATACCATCATCATTTCGGCCTTTCACAACGTCCGCTGCTCCTCTGCGCGCATCAAACAATGCAGGCATATGTTGAATTCTTGCCAGACCAGTGCGAGGTCTGCAACAGGTCCGGTCCCTGCAGTACGCTCTCAAAAAAAGACAACCCGCGCCCCAATGAGGGTGCATGTTGCATTTCGTTTCGTCCGTCTTTTCTGGCCCTTTCGCTGGTCCTTCCGCTTTGGTTGGAGATGTGGTTTATCCTACCATGTTTCTTTGTACATGCCGTGCGACCAACCCTTTGGAAACTTGCACTATGAGGCTGTGAGGGGCGTTGGACCCGATTATGTGTTTGCTTGCAAGGTTTGCAAGCCACCTATCCCGCTGATCAGCCAAGGTTCCGTGATAGCATCCTGCCGTTGAAGCCAGTTCGACCAGATCTCCAAGCCTCCGAGGGAGGACAGGGTCAATTCAGGCAATCAACAGGAATGATGGCCATGATCGGCCAGCCCAACTTCTCCAGTTTGAGTTATTTTTCCCCAGAATCCACATAGTTATCAGAGAGAGACAGAGAGAGAGATTGATATATATATATAATAGAGAGAGAGATATGATATATATATATATAATAGAGAGAGAGATATGATATATATATATAATATATATATATATTGTATATAGTTTTATATATACTATACCCAAACTAATCAAAATTATATCTAGGATTTCTTTGACAAAGCGCATGCTTTTGGGGATGCCCATGTTGGTCTGCAGGGGTCGCTCCCAGTGAATCAGCCACACCTTCGCCTCCTGGAAAGCGGCAGGTCATGCCCCTGCACGCCACCACAGCACTACCTGGCAGATTGGCCAAAGCGACTATGGATGGACAAGAGGTTGTAAAGCTTCAACACCGGGCATTTTGGAAGGGCAAGCGATGCAAAGGTCACCAACTTCAGAGTGCCCGATTCAAAGGCAATGACTTTCTGACTCAAGGACCCCCCAGAAGGAAAAGAATTGTCTAAAAAGGGGTTGGGGAACACGATTTGCGGACCGCTGTCAATGGCTAGCGCAGTGGGTGCTGTGGGAGATGAATTGGATCACCTCCATGTGAGTAAAGGAAGCGTGAAAACAAGCTGTGAATTTGCCATCCTGTGTGTGTGCGCGCAGGGTTAACGCAATGAATTACAGTGAGCGTGGTGCGAAACACATTGGTTGGCGGGTCTCATTGTTCTTTACACACCCAGGCCCATATTTGTATCATCTATCGTGGGCCATCGTGGGCTCGAGTTCCATTTTTGCTTGGACCGGCCATGCACGAAGAGCAATACCATCGGCCCTGAGCCCCACCTGATGATGCAGCAGCCCTGGCCACTCGGGTGAGAGGCTGAGGCGCCGTCGTCTGCAGCTGAGACTGCACCTGTAGCGCGCGTCGTTGTCGATAAAATATATGGAACTAGGTTGAACTGACTATATGTAGTATTATAATGTATTCCATATTATATAATCAATGGAGCACCCAGTCGGAAAGTGCCTTCCCTAAATCAACAATCCCAAAACGTCTTGTCGGATGTCTTTTCTCCAGAACTGGCAAAAAGTGGCCCCCGCAGTCTGCGTTGAACGGGTTTCGACGCTCAAGCAGGGTGGTGCTTGAGACGTAGTCTATCAGTCTATCTATATTCATAGGTAACAATAGGTGTTATATGGTGTCGCTGTGCCCCTAGTACCATCTCACCCGGCTGAAGCAATTAGTGCCTGCCCATGGGCGGCAATGAGACAACCCTGAAGAATCTCCTGGTGTAAGTCTTGCAAGTTTGGCAGTAACATCTGCTGGCTCAACCTTCCGCTGTTCGCTTGTGCCACTTGCCATTCTCTCCGTTTCACACACCAAGGAGCTAGATCGGTGATGGCGCGCAAGGTGGGGTGGTCGAACATCAAGGTGTTCCTGGGCGCCAAATGTGCCCCGGAAGCATCCGGAAGCCATGTGAGCAGGACCTTCAAGCCACCGGCTCAGGAACTTGCCGCAACAGAGGTATACGGTATACAAGCTCTTGTCAAGGCAGTGAACATCAACTGAGTGTTCATGTTTTGCACGCCCAAAACAAGTCAACCTCTCCAAACCTTGAGCCCGAAGGAATCCTACCATTCCACCGTTGAGCACTGCGAGTGTAGCATGTCTGCTTTGCAACCCACAATCGTCCCAATCACACCATCAATTTATTTGCTACATGCCAAGGACAAAAGATCCAGTGGGACCAGTGAGGCCATTACGGGCGACACTCGCAGAAAATCCGCGAATAAAACGCTACCGGGACTGTAGCTCCAACTAATTGCCCACCAAGGTGCGGGAACTTGATGCCAGCGCCTGCCTCGGCACTGAGGCGATTCCGGAACTCCACCGAGCTCAAGGAGTCCTCGCGCATGCGGAAAGGCGCGCAAAAGGCTGATCGGCGTAAGAGTCGCGCGGAGTCGCACGGGCGGCGGGGGTCCATGCCGGCAGCCATCAAGGGCTCGTCCACATCCACTGCTGAGCCCACCACGTCCGAAGCCACTGAGCCTCGGACCAACCGGCGATGTGGAATAGCAGAAGTGCCGTGTTGTCTGTTCTGTTGGTTTGTAGGGGTTGATTTGAAGATACTAGTGGCTTGAAGAGGGGTGGAAAGCTGGTCATGGCCACCTCGTGCAAAAGCTAACATGTTTCGTATTCATGAAGCCTGCGCAAAGGGGATTATGAATGACTATGATTCATGATGATTCTACTGATTCGCAGGACAGCGGTCAGAAACTATTCGCAACGGTCACATGGTCAAATGGAGGATGTGAAGGATGTAAATCGAAAAAAAAGAACCCACAGCGTGGGATTTCTATTTCAAGGAGCTTTGATCACTTCAACTGGATCTTCAAGATGCCCAATCTAGTTGCCATGAGAATCTAGTCCTAAAGAGTCGGTCCAGCTCCCCGACTTGCATGTGGCGTGTCTTGATCCATCTTTCTCGCACAGGAGCGGAAGGCAACCGGCAGCAAGACTTTTTTCCGAGCTCGAAAAAGGCAGTATGTGGCTACAGGTCGAACTGCACGACAAACATGGAGTACTTGAACCGAGCATCTCTTTGTGAGGATTCTTCTGCAGTTAATGACATCTGCGTGTGGATGACTATGAAAGTCGTGATCTTGGTCCTCAAAATGTGGAGATCGACCCACACCCAACGGAAGCGAAACGCTTTCCCAGAGCTGCTTGCGCAGAACTCTGCGCAGCCTTGCAGCTGGCGCAGAGAGCTTCTCCGGATTTTGAAGAGAAGCGATTCGCTCCCCACGGATTAAATTGAAAAAGCTAGGCTCCCCTGTGTTTGAAGGGGAAGACGATCACTTGGCATTAGGGTGAAATTTGAGCACTGCAAAGAAAGGTCCCACTGGAGTGGCCCAGAAAACTGGAACATGGCCGAAAAAGATGCAGGCACACATCCAAGTTGTACTACCTAATGAGTAGGGACTTCACGGGCATTCTGCATGGCTCTCAATCTCTCAGAGCATTAGATCTAAACGTTTGGAGAGTCCCCACTCACACTGCAGTAGCACAGCGGCCTTCGGAAAGCTTTCCGATCTGTACTGGTTTGTCCCAACTTTCAATCCCAAGTTGATGTCCAGTGGGGGTCTATCGAATCATCGAATCCTCACCCTACAGTTCTTTTCTGACTGACCGTCTCGCAAAAAAAATAGATTTTGACGAGACTAGTTGTGTCAATGTATGCTATGAAGGTAAGTAATGAATGAATCCCCAACCGCTTCTGGACTTAAAGCCTCAGCTAACACCTACCAGCTCTTGCTCTTGAGCCTCCATTTCGTATCTCTCAATGGCCCGTTGCATGAACTCGTCGCCGTTCAGTTTGGGCCCACTGCCGCCCCATTCCTCAAGCGAAGCGAGTGAGGTGTTGCACTCCCCATGGAAGACTATCTTCCTGCCATGTGGGGGCAATGTGTGTTTGGGGAGGAGCAGTTGTCAGGGTTGTCATATCTCCTGTGGTGTTTTGAGGGCGTCCTTTCTGATCAACCTTTCAGCGGCAGTCTTCAAGACACCTCTTCATGGACTCCATCACATCATCGAGCTGTCGCCATCCTGCACATCCTGTGGGTCAATCCAGAAACCTGTGAGTGGTTCGCCTACTGTATGCCTTCGGACTGGCCCCACATGGCTAGAGCACTAGTCTGCAACCCCCCTTACAACGCCGAGTTCATCCGCACCGAACGAAATCATCTGCATCAAGATGATTCTATTGATCTGTCCAAATCTGCAAAGGCATCCCTAGGTCTCTTTCCCCTTCGACCAGACACTGGACTCGGTTGCCCCATTGTTCAGACAGACCTATGATTTTTTGACCAACAGGTCCCCAGAGGCTCCATGTCCATGTTCAAGTTGGGTCCTAGAGTTTACTTGGAAAACAGTCTCAAACTCACCCCTTAAGCTGGACGTTTTTTTCTTAACGCTCGCTCTCCCCCCTCTCTCCCTACTTAATTAAGTCGGCGCTTACTTAATTAAGGGAGAGGTAGGTAGTATCTTACTTAAGCTACTTGTACTGATGCAGGATAGATCACGTTTCTATTCATTTGGTTCCTGGATTTTTAGGCAAACTAGCTCGACTGTGTGCTTTTGTCAAACTCACCCCATCGTATGACGTCGTTCTCCTATATACTTCGAAGATCTTCGAAGCACATGATGTTGGGAACTGGTATTCAATCCAGAGCAGAGGCGATTTTTCTTAGCTCGCCACCCCCTCAGCCAGTTCCCCCTCAGGATCTCCATCTTGAACCACTCCCCAGATTCATCTGAAGCCACCCCTCAAGAACCATCAACCACGAGCTGCCAAACCGCTGGTTCTTCAGCTTTGCACCTCATCAACTAGCACATTTGGGTGGTTATGGGAGGAGTATTGGTGTTATCATGTTATCTGTTTTAGGTATGTTTAGGTATTGACCGCTAGATACGACTAGATCCTTCGAGCGACTTCTTGGTGTTTCGCCCTTTTCCTCCAAGGCCCCCCTGCGTCCCATCACCCAAGTTCCTACCCTCACCGTCTCACCGTCCGGGTCTCTTCGAAGAGTTGATCGGATTCGTAGTACTCCAAAAGCTTCGACACGGGCTCCTCCCGCCATCCGGCAGGGCCCAGGAACTTGAAGTCGATGGAGCCACGATCCGCGATCCAACGAGAGAAGATTTTGAAGGCGCCCCAGAAGACCATATCACTATTCCTCAAGCCCAGGCACAAGAAGGGGGTGCAACACAGTGCAACTGATTCTTTGGCTGAGTTCTTTTCCGTGGGTGAAAGAGATTGAGAAACCCAAGGAGGCCATGAAACCGTTCCTCAGTCCCACAGCCCTGATGACAAGTCGCTGGTCAGGAGTGATCCTGAAACCCAAAGGAACCCATGATGCTCATCCTAACTCTGTTTGCGGCAAGATTTGGAGTTCCATGACACACAAGCCAGGCCCGCAGTACAAGGTTCTTTGGGACTGCCAATACTGATTGTACGAACCCAAGCACTATGACCCATGGCCCATGGACATGACCAGAGTGAAAGGTTGGTGGTCTTTGAGACCAACATGAAAACAAAGATGAAAAATGTGTGCGGACCAGACATGGAAATCAGTGAGAAGGCAAAGGTTTCCAACGGGTTTTGTGCAATTCCAAGACGGCCCTTTGGTCAGGGTAGGATGACCATGACCATGGCACAAGTGATACCAACTTGCCAATTGATCTTTGTGGCCTTTCGTCTCTTGACCGCCCACCATCAATTTTCCGCCATCATCGACAGGCTTCAGGTAGAAGACCCGTCCGACGATCCCCGGGTAGTGCCGGTTGAGGATGGTAATTGCTGCCTGCCACGGTTTTAGCACGAGTCTGACGAGCGCGTTGTCATCTCATGCAAACCACTTCTTTCCAACATGCATAATACTGGCTGGAAGCAAAAAACACACAAGTTCACCCAGGCTTTTGCCCCCTACAAGTAGCTTTGGCAGTCTCTGCTGTTCCTGCTGCAGATCTCAAGAACATAATGTGAGGCCCTAGAGCCCCTGCCTTCAGGACAGCAAAGCCATTGTCCAGGCTCCCAAGCTCTTCCAGGATCTCCTTCGATGGCGCATCCTTGCTCCCCGCCCCGGCCGCATAGTAGGGGTTCCGAGCCTGGGTCAGGGCAGCTCGCTATGGAGCACTGGAGCAACTGCTGGTCCCTTCAGTTGCCACCTTTTCCACCTCGAAACTTTCCCACACCCAAACCCCCACACCTCACCCACCTGATCGCACCACACACCTTACCCAAACCACCATTCCCATTCGCACCTCGTTGTAGGTCCGCTCATGCCCTGCGGTGCCGCTCACGTTGCCCACCTGCTTGACCGCACCGATATCTAAGATGTAGGACCCTGCGCCCTTTCCCAACGACGCCACCTTCGTGGCCATCAGCTCCTCAGGATGAGTCGGTCGCCACTCAGCCAAGCATGGCATTGCACTCGGTGAATCAACCAAAATCTAGAGAAATATGATGGAGATCCTAGTGGACTAAATCCTGCACAACTTGCAGTATGTTCAGTGGATTCTGGATCTTTTGCAAGGTTACTTAATTGGTGAAAAATGTACCCATCAAATCCCATCAACAGTATCAATTCGTGGCCAGCGGCACGTAGTGCCAGCGCCAAAGTAACAAACAAACTCGGCGAGAGCCACACTATGACCCTTGACCTCTGGTGCGGCGGGTACTGTTGATTTTGTGTGCCCTAGGTTTATGCTTAAAGGGTGGAAAAGCCGGGTTTCATTCCGAGATTCGAGCTTTCACACCATTGAAAAAGCTTCTGAAAGCTTAAGCTCGAGCTCGAGGGTTACATGTTACATGTTTGTAATTTGGAAAGATAAGCAGGACCACTTGCGCTTCCTGTCTTTGAGGGTCTGGACATCTTGGACGTTCCATCCATCTGAGTCCAAGGATGTCCAAAGCATCCAGGGCTCAAACACCAGCGCACCAGCTCTCAGATGGTGCCAGGGATGCATATTCTCCGGGTTCGCAAACTTCAGTCGCCCAGCGCAGTAGGGACGGCCCTCCTTGTCCAACAAGAGGGAGTCCGAAAAGTACATCTCAGCTCCAGGATTGCTTTCCTGACACGGAAAGGTTGCAGAAGATTGCAGCCCAGGAGGACTCGGAAGGTGGTCGGACCACAGCGAGAAAATATCAAACGGAGTTGCAGAAAGAAGTAATTGGGAGGGCTCAAAATAGAGACCTGAAGATTCTTGACTGAATTGCAAGAGAGGTATCCTGAGCACGGAACCTGAAAACTATGTACAGTATTTGTTAAACCCCCAAAACCGGATGTTCCTTTACAAAAAATGGGATTGAAGTTCAGCCTCTCTTGAATGTACCAGTGTCCTTGAAAGGGAGTAAGGAAGGAACCTCCCTGGTCAGTATTTCGAGGCGAAGTAGTTCCAGAACCTCGGTCTACGAGTCCACGATCTCCTCGTGAATCACAAACTCCTCTTTGAGGGATATGCAAAAATGACGGCCACATCAACGCGTCAAGCGTCCTCGGAGAAGAGCTGCGAGGCGGCGCCTGTGCGGTAGTAATCCAAGACCTCAGCCAAACAAATGGATCCAGTGGATCCAATGGTAAAACTAAGGGCGTGGAGGTTGCTCCGTAGCATTTAACCACCTCCAAATTATGTGTATTTGTCATAACCCCTCACACACAAGTCACCTAATATTGCCCGAAAAGCATCCAAGAAACGTTCCACTCCTTTCGCCACTTGGCAGTAGCCTCCAAGCGCAACAAGGCCTCTCGTACCTCGTAGTTGGAGGCCACCAAGTAGCGCTCCAGCAAACCACGCATGTTCCTAGGTACGGTGCAACAGGGCTTGGTGTTACATGCATGGTCCAGCAGTGCAGCAGGCACAGCTGGCATGTTGGCTCCAGGCACCTGTTTGGAGACAGGTTCAGCTTGTGGTTCAAGCGGGTGACCAACGGGAGTCGGCGGGTGTCATCTGTCTGTAGATCAGATGGTGGCCCACAAGATAGCGAGGTAATCCAAGGCAAAGGGGGGTGAGTGTGTTTTTCTTGTGGTTCAACAGAAATTGCACCCATAAGGATTACACGAACCTTGGGAGGAGATTGGGAAGCTGGGAACTTTCGCATACCTGGAAGATCGGCGGTGGTTTACTGTTTCTCTGAACGAGGCCAAGGGAATGTTGCTGCGATATTGGCGGAACGAGGGAAAAGACTGAAAAGCTTGGCGTCATATGGACTTGTAGCTCAGACTCATGTGGGAACGAAACTCTCCCACCAACAACACCAGTCAGAGTCAGGCCTATTCTCAGACACAGGGAAGGCAGGGAAGGCCTTGTTTTCCCATCAACCAAATCGGATCCGGTCGGATCATCCAGGCTGCACGTTGAAGTAGGGATCCTCCACAACCTCCGGGTAGATATCGTTCTTCAACCTCTCCTCCAGCACTGACCAATGCCTCTCCTTACCATTCGAGCTCTGCTTCAGATCAGTTTCCGACAACGTTGTGGGATATCCCACCCAGCGATAAAGTTTACCTGGAGGCCTCTAAGTCTAAAGTGATCTATATATATATATATAGAGATATCTAATGACGGTTATGGAAGTGTTGCTAGGTGGGGAGGATGGCCCAAACAATGTCTCTTATATGCGAGGTATCACTGCATGAAAGTGGTCTCCTCACTTCCATCTCCAAGAATGAGTTCCTCCGCGACAGTCCAACCAACTCACCAACTCACCCCACCTATAGGCATCAACCAAAGCCACTCCAACCCCAATCTGAGCTGAAAAAATCCCCTTTGGCCAGGTCCACCTGCCCTTCCCCAACTCCACCCGTTTTGTCCACATGCTTTGCCGTCTTGGAGCCATATCGGCCAGCAGCTCTTGCCGCTCTGCTGAGGCGAACTCCATCCCCGGCGTCGTGGAATCTGACGAGGAGGATTCCCGCGCACCGGGCGCGCCTTCGTGGTTGCATGGCGGATTGGGAGAAGGGGCACTATTGAATGTGACACAAGAAGGGAATATGGTTTTAAGATATATATATATAAGGATATATATATATATATATCCACCCTCTTCAACAGACTTGTTCTCACCCTGTTCAAGTTTGGGATGTGCTTTCGACATTGACTCAAGCCTCAGTTGGAGGTCTTGTTTGTGGTTGTTCTTTGTGTGTGTGTGTGTCCACTCCTGTTTCCAAGGACACTACTCTAGTACTTTTTCTAACCTACCCTACGAGCCTTCCAACCACTGTACAGTAGCAGGGGGCACGGCGGCCGTTCACCTAGCCGTGCTAACAAAGCTATGGTGTTCGGTTGGAAGAGATACTGGGCGCGGTATCTTGTACCTGCAATTTTTAACTCTCACTCATTGATGCGTCTAAGTCAGTTCAACGCTGTCTCCTACGTTGATTTTGCAATAAAGTGCTAATGCTCTCGGCTAATGCAGTACCTAAATGTAAAGGGCTAATGCACACCGCGAAGCAACCTGAAGTCACGCTCCACGGAGCAACCTTCTCAAGTGTGTTTCCGCAGCTTCTTCCCACAGTGGTAAGCTGTGTGATCCCTACGGGGCGCCGTTACTGCAAGAACCTTCTCACTCCTCACCGCGGGAGTAAATTTTCCTGAAGTCTTTCTGAAGTCCATTTGACTGAAAATTTCCTGCTCGAGATCAGCTTGGATCGTCTCACCCCGCACATGTGAAGAATACTGCAGAGTTTACTGTATCCCTTTCTGAAGCTCACTGCAGAGTCAACTGATAAATGTTTCACCCGGGAAACCAGTTCAGTTCATTTTTTAACCTCTCAAGTTTTAATTCTGATTTCAATTTTCCAGAGTTTAATTGCAGTCAGTCGACACACTTTACAATTTTTCGAGTACACGACCCTCTTTTATTTATTTATTTATTTATTTCCTTACATACATACATATTTGGATTGTATTTGACTTGCCGAGCAACCATGACGTATCCCTGGCCCTATTCACTACCGCCACACATCCATCAACAACCACAACCTACACAACCCCATTGGATTCAATATCCACCACAAGCTCCACCACAACCATATCCAACACTGCCACCGGCTCCACCACACCTCACATGGTTATCCACTTTCCACTCCACCTCCACCTCATGCTCACTACATCCAACCACACCAACTACAGGCACATTTTCCAGTACAACCTACGGCTCCTTTCGATACTACCCACCTTGCGCAACAACATCCACCCCTCACGATACAATCACCACAATCCCAGGCTCATACACATCCCACATTGCCACTTCAACCTCAACCTCAACCACTACCTCCTCAACCACATCTACCACATCAACTACATCCATCACCACACATGACAAGCCAATCCCCAGCCGCGCCATCACCTCAACCACCTCAACCACCTCCACCACAAACACCAGATCTACCACAAGCACAAGCACCAGATCCAGCAACGAACATTTCACCACAGCTGGCCACACCTACTCCACCACCACCACCTCGCATTCCAATTGCTCCACCAGCTTCTACTCAACCTGCTTCAGCATCTATCACCACAACCGCACAACCTCCGCCACCACACCACTTACCACGCACTCCCAAGCCAACACCATCCATTGCACCCACACTCAGCACTACAAGAGGCATTTGGCGCGACCCAGATCGCTCACCACCACGCACACCTGAACATCACCGCTACTCAGCCTTTCCAGCTGTTCCCACCATTGCACCTTCACAAGCTACATCCAGATCCAGGAGCCGTACTCGCTCACTCCGCACCACGCGCTCTCCACTACCACGACGCCGAAGCTCAGCCACACAATCCGTGGCTAGCTCTCAACCACAATCCAAGCCCGCAGACAGACAAACATCACCATCACCAGCGCTCACCCAGGACAATGCTCACTCTTCCAGGCATGACGTCACTGCAACTACCACTGCAAAACGCACTCCAGAGTCAACCCACCGTACTTCCGGCATCACACTCAAACCCAATCCACAGTTCACACCCAAACATTCCACAAAACAGACAACTACTCCGCCACCTCCAGCACCACCACCCGCAGTTCCAGTTCAACGTCGACCTCGCAATTTGCCTCCTCCACAATTCCAACCACCCACTGATCCAGCACAATTGGACGTCTTCCGATGGATCAACCACTATGCACAAGCACTTGATGTCAAAAATGAACCAATGATTTCATACGTGGCAAAGGTACTCAGCGCAGCTCATCTCAACAGCACCCACTTCACCGACCTGCAACTTCTCACACACACACAAAATGGAGTGACGACACCAACAAAGAAGAACATTATTAATTTCTATTACTCACAATCCCCACACTAGCAAGCAGGGGCGATGCACCGATCCTTCCTCCCACAAGGAGAGAGGCACTAAACATACCACCCATAAAGCACATTTTTGCGGCACACGTCAGTGAGGAGGGCAACATCATTTCAATACTTGAAGCGGGAGAAATCGTACGATCCGTTTTACATGATGACCACAATGTGGTTATTTTTGTCAGGCATTCGAACTGTCGAACTATGAGCCCCATGATGCTGCTGAAGCTGCACGTGTTCTATTCAATGCTTCAAACATGGCCAAGAACCGTAGCGGCCTCATTCTGACGATCAAAGCCTACGGGCACGGCCAAAAAGTCACTCATGGTGGCGAATCCGCAGCCAACGACCTGCTGCTCAGAGGAGAAGGGATTGTAAAATACACCCCAGGAAAATGCTGGGTAGCTCATCCCAAACATTCAAGAATAGAAGGGATAGCCTGGAAAAGCGATGCAAAGCCACCGCTCAGTTTCATTTAATTCAACCTATCCAGCCCAGGAGGTTCTTTTTTCACCCCATATCACGGATGACGACCTAGCCTCAAACAATCTCAGCCTGCCTGCTCGCTTTTGGTTTAGATTCTGATTTCTTCATATTGTTCGATTATTCGATGACAACTTGCGGTATTTCCAATATGTTATTTCTGTACAGTTTGATGCCGACAACATGGTCTTCCTCGCGACTACTTTCGCTCCAATGTACCGGATTTTGTGCTTTTCAGCCTTCCTGATGATTTTAGACCTTGACTCCGCACGATTTTCCACATTCTGCACCGCAGCCATTTTGTATTATCTTGAACATTGAGCTCGATCCCTTACAATAGCCCGCGCTATATTTGCTCTATCACGACGATGACTTCACCTTTGGACACAGCATTTGCACATCGACTCCTTCTAGCACACCTTCAAGCAGCCACATCTATTGCCACCACTTTTCAAAACCTTCCACCATTTACACCGCAACCACCACAACATGCACATCACCAACTCACTACCACTCCACCTTCTTTCCAAAGACCAACCAGACGCACTCCTCCACCACCGCAGCCACAGCCGTCTCATTCACGCAGCCGCAGTCCACCTCCCACCACAGGCACACTCTTCAGGGAGTGCAAACCAGAACCTTCTCCCTCACACACACCCACTTCACCACATCAGTTTTCACCACACCACCACAAGTCCAAAGCGACTCACCACCACAAGAACAATACAGACCTCCAGAAACAGCCTACACCACCAATCACAACGATTTCTCTCACCAGCTCGCCCAATTCGCCTCCACAAACATCACCAATTCCACCGATTCCACCACTACCTACACCAGTACCACCTGCATCACCAGTACCACCATCAAAACCAGCACAAATCCTTACGGGTTCACCACACTATCCTGACAATGGAGGATGGGAACCCAGCGAAGATGAAAAACTGGCGGCCTTTAACCTTTAAACTCAACAAGCGAGCTCGCCCCAGTTGGAAGTACATAGCAAAAGCACTCAACAAAACACCTTTTGATTGCAAAGGTCGATGGCAAGTCTTGCGAATTCTTTACACACCTCAACAACCAGAGAGTCCAGAAGCGGAAGCGGAAGCAGCATCATCACCTCACAAAGCATCCCACCAAGCAGCAGCAACCCCTCCAGCTACAAAGGATGCCAGTACGATGACTACAGAACCCCCAGCTCCATCAGACAAGGAGACATAGAACGCGGACCAACAGTACACGACAGTCCAAACAGAGCACCTACATATCCACTACCCCCACGACGACTTGGTGCTGAAGAACATCCAGAACTTTTGATGGCTCTGTATGTATTTATTTATTGTCAATTCGTACATATTTACATATTGGCTTATTGCTTCTTGTCGCGTCAGCAGTTGTGAGCAATAGACTCCAACCCACAACACACCATTACAGCTTTCTTCCACACGTGCAGCAAAAAAACAAGATCGATTGCCAGCAGAGCTCATTTTGTTTGAACACTCGCCACACACATCAAATTCTCGACCACTGGCACATCACCAGTACTGTGTACAGACCATGTTATTCCGTTTAATTCGTCGTTTCATTGCATCTATGCGAATCACTTTCGATTGGTCTTCCTGTTGTTGAACCTGAAGAACTTTTTCTGTTTCCAAGTTTTGGTTGAACTTGATTACTTTTACATATTTCGTCTCCACCTTGATGTATTTGCAGCTCGGCTAGTTCAACTTAGCTCAGCCTTTCATTCGTGTACAGATTTCTCGACGACGACATCGCGATGGATTCCAATCCTGTTGGGGCAGCCCTCGTTGCCTTGGATGCCCAGATCATTTCACAACTGCGCGATACAAACATCCAGATCAACCGGCTGATGGTACTTCAACTCAATCGACTACATGATACTATTCG